GTGAATCTGTACAAATCTCAGAATTTGTGTGATCTCTGCTAAACTACAGTTCATCTTTACTTTGCTTGTTTTCTTGAATATGAATATCATCTCACAGTTTGGAGACAGACTTGACAAGCAGTCTGTTGGTCAAACCGTAGGAGGAAAGTAATTGAAGAGGCAATTGCTGCAAAGCTGCTTTATCTCAAATTTGGTTTTTAAATGACAACACAATATTACTATTTTTTAGAACTAGACCAAGCTATATGACAATGCCTTCTTGTGGTAACCAGTGTTTTCCTTGCTGGACTTTTGAAATAGGCAATGATTACAGAATGGGCTCAGTACCCCAGTGTGAGGAGCAGGTGTGGCTGCTGCCATGCCAGGTATTGTCTCAAACCCTGAGATTTGTAGTCTAAATACATTTTTTCCCCTTTCTTTTCAGATCACAGTGCCTGTGATTTAAGTACATTTCAGATTGACAGCACTCTGTAGTATGTTTAGATTCTCCGGGTCATGCCCAAGCCTTGCTTCGGGATACATGGCTGTGAAGATCAAAATGACAGTTGTGTTTTCTTCTTTTTCTTAGCATTTTTAAGTCAATGGAGCTGGAATTCTAAGTTCCTGACTGCTGCTGCCTGTAGGATTTTTAGAATGGCTACAGAGCATTCAGAATTCATTCAGAAATAGCTTGTCTTCCTGAATATCAGTGTTTCTGAAGCCTAGGGATAATGATATAAAGCTTTTATTAAAAAAAAAAGTCAAAGAATAAGAGAACATAATCAGCTATTGAGAATGTGGACTTGTACTAAATGCTATCATTTGAAAGAATTTTGCTAAAATGACATTGTTTTCAGGTTTGTGGAGCAGACACTGTTATTGGCATAACTTCCATTAGTGCTGCTTAGCCAAAGTGTGAGTTGAGCAGTGTTCATCTGGAGACTTAGAATGTTTTGGAGTTAATAGGAGTTGCTGTTGGTCATCTGATTTTTTTTTTTAATTGCAAACTGTACTGAGAGTTCAGATTCACTTCTTTGTGTGGGTTTCTATTAAAAGTACTGCTCAAGGCTGATGGAGCTTATCTGGGATACCTGGAGACTTTTCCTAGCCCCCGGATGATAGGGATCTGGTTATTAGATCTTTATACCATGGATGTTTCCAGCAGCAAAATGTACTCTAATTTTATTCTAAAATAAGGATCTCATAAGAGAATGCAGGGTGTCTTGATGCCATTTGTAATTAAAGAAAGACTTCCACAAAGGTTCCTTGCAGTTGTTGTAGGTTTTTGTGTTACCTCACCTTTCTAATTGGCTCTCATTGTTAGGCAGTGTGATTAGAAGAAAGATGCAGGTTTTCCAGGCAAATTCTCGCTATATTTTTCCATGTCTGTTTTAATGTAGCTGTGCTCTCCTGCCTAATGTACCCAGGAGGGTAGCTGCTCCCTGGGTTTTCGTGTTTGGCACTTCTGGAAGCTGGGCTTGTTGTTTACCCAATCCAGAGTCCCTGTTACTTTCTAAAGAGGTACCTACCTCTGGAAACTACAGTGTTTAAAGAAAATGTACTTAAATTTGCATGATGTTTATTGCAGCAAATACTGATTTCATCTTTTCCTAAATGAAAAAAAAAAAGAAAAAGTTGGCTTTACCCTTTGAATTTAAGAAGGGCAAAGAAACTCTGGAAATTTCCAAACTCTCCCTCCCACGAATCCCAGTCTCCTGGAACTGATTCTATTCATTTTCACTAGTTTGATGTGAAATATATCCACAATGACAATAGTGATGAATGCAGATACCAGAAGACTCTGCCCAGGTTTTATTTTAAAGCCTTATATACTTACAGAGATTTCAGGCGCCCACAGATTTTATACCTGATAGAAAATTACCATTAAAGTTTAATACTGCAGTAAAAGTAAATCCTAGGGATTTGCTGGAGCCTCCTGGAGTTTAAGCTATGAAGAATTAGAATAAAATAGCTATGTGTCTTACAACCCATAAGAAAAATAATTGACAAAATAAGAACTACATTCTGAGACAATTTCTTTGCTCGGTTTTGCCTTTGCTTGTCTTATCTAACCTTTTTTTCAAAGGAGACTCTGGTCTCCTTAAGTGGAATGCGCAGGATGTACTTCAGTTAATTCTCTTCTTTCCCTTTCAGTTTGTTTCAGATCGAAGAGCCATTTCCCTTCCCCACTAGGTTCTGTCATACATCTTTGCCTCCAGGCAGGAAAATCTGCTGAGGGCTCCCCAGTTGTGAGGACAGGATCTCAGGATTGGCCAGAGGAGCCCAGGGTAGCTGTTCCTCCATCTGAGGGTGGTGTTGTGTTCCCAGCCCCACTCTCTGCATCTGCTGAGCGCACAGGCGTGAAGCCATGGTTTATCATGGACTCACACAGGCTCCTTTTCAGGCAGTGCTCTGGCCTTTTCTCTATCACTCAAGGAGAACATGCCAGAAGGGACGTGGTGCTGTTGTGCTGCTGAATAATGTGAAGTTCAAAGACAGCAGTTTTGCATGTTTAGAGATTAAAGATAATATAACTCAAAATATAGCAACAGTGCGTTCTGAATATTGTAATTACCGTGGAATAAAGAACATGCTAGGAGAGTAATATTGTTAAATGACTATGAATTGCAGGCTATTTGATGATTTTATTCTCATTCCTGGAGGGCTACATTAGGTCAGGAGGAGCAGATGGAAACTTTTTGCTGGGACACAGTTACTTGACAGCTTCCTTCTGCATTGTGTAAAGTCTCCATTGGCAGATTTTCTAAATTGCCAGGGAGATGTAACTCTCTCTCCTGCCTGCTTTTCCTCCACTGTCTTATGGTGTTAGTGCTATGAATGTAATCCTTTCTAGTTTCTTCAGCTTTTTCCCAGTTATCTTGTATAATTTCTAAGAGGTCTGTTACTTTTAGCTGAGACTCAAAAGGAACATTTACCAAGAGGAGTCCAGTCTTCAAACAGCTCTACTCAGGTGACTCCCTGCTTCCCATTCTTTCAGTTTGGTCCCTGGCAGCTCAGGCACTCATGGTGATTTGCAGGTTTTCCACTAATTTTTCTTTGTATCCTTAATTCCACAATGTTTCATTGCACATTTGCCATCTTAGCTGTAAGAGGTAAGTATTGATCCAACTCAGGTGAAACTGAGGAAGGGTTTTCCTCTGGCTCCTGCTCTGCACTGGAGCTTGCTCAATGCAGAGGGGTGAATTTTATCAAGGGACAGGATCACAGCCATGCAGATTCACAGATGCCCCATCCAGGCCTCAGTTTGTCTCTACTGTTCCCAGGCTTTAAGCAAATTGTATCAGCACGCTGGTAAAAAACATCCAGTTAAAATATCCTATGTATCAATTATACACTTAAAGAAAACAATTTAAATGCCACAGATTGCTGTCTGTGGGTAATTATTCAGTCTAAAACAAATACCCCAGAGGTTACAAATAATAATTTTGCTAAAAAATACTATTATGCATTATTAAATATCTACAATTCTAGATTATGATAAAGTAAGAAAAGGTCTAAATTCTGTTTGTTCTGTTGTAGTACTTCCCAAAGAGAGTAAGTTCCAAATTTCTTCCAGGGGAAGACTGGGGATTCATATGCCAGATATTGACCTGGATTTGCATATTTTTTAATGTGGGATTTATGTACCTGGGAAAATATGGGTATATGATAGAAAGCCTGACAGACCCTTTAACTATAGTGTCATAATACATTGATATAATTTGTTACCTCAGCTAAGGTGTTTTGCCTCAAGAGGTGGAATACTTTTATGTATGGAAAGGTCACTTTTAATTAATAAGCTGTTTTCCTCATTCAGGGACAATATGAATTGCTTGTAACATTTGTGTGAAATACTTTTCAATATAAAAATAAAACAAATTGAGCTTTATGTCACATTTATCATTCCCCATAACCCATTTAAATGTCAAAAAAATCAGTGCAGACCAAAAGTCTATTTCTAGAAGCCTTAGTAGCCCTATTTATCAGAGTGAAATAAGATATTATCATCCCATTATCCCATCCCATGCCTTCTGCACTTGAAGCCATACCATTTCTTCATTTTCTATAAAACAGAAGATAGTTTTTCTATTGTTAAATATTTCTTGTCCAAGCTGTAAGTAGTGAAGAAAGTGCTGAATGTTTCTTACACTATAATATAAAATATACAATTATTTGCTTGCTTTGTTGTACATATCTCAAATGGAAAAAAAATAGTGTTCTTCTATCCCTATTTGGAAACAAATATTTTGCAGACTACAATTTGTTATTATAATTTTACCGTAAGGATAAAGCTTTCAGTGTATTCAGTACTGATATATTTTGACAAAAATCATGCCATTGTATGGAAACTTACATCCTTCTATATTTTACCATGAAACAATGCCTCATTAAAAAATATAATTATTCAGGTTCTTTTTCTGAGTTTTGTTTCCTAACAAGGAGGGCTCAGTCACATGGCTCTATGGGTGGGTGTCTCTTCCTTCTAATAATTCTAAAATTTCAAATTTGAGTGAGACTGAACAGTGTGAAAGGTTCTAAGTTCATTTAAATGCATGAAAATAGGTATCAGGATAGAGGAAGAAGATCCCATTAATGCTGATAGAGAGGAAGATGCTTCTGAGGGTTGTGATAAAGAACCTGATGAGGAGTTTAATTCTGGGGAATCCAGCAGGATCTAGAGCTAGAGAATTCCTGTTGAAAGAAGTAGATCCAGCTGAATATCAGACTATGAATATCAGACTAATACATACGAGAGGGCTCAGCCACAGGTCATAAACATGCATGAAACCAGCTGGGTGATTTGTTCCTTAGAGAGGCTTTAACAGGTTATGCCATTATTATATCAAAATTCTTATATACACTTTGAAAAGAAAGAGTTAATTTACTGGTGCAGACGTTAAATGGTGAAAAATTTATTTTATGTAGAAATGTGTGGGGAAGTAGGCTTATATGGTTATTATATGTTAAATATATTGTGTTTTATGCTAATGTTTTCTTTTTTTTCACTTTTACTGCAACAGGCAGTGCCATGGGAAGCGATGATATCATAGCAGGGAACGTGAGCAAGTACATTGTTCTCCCAGCTGGTTACTGTGGACAGCCCAAAAAAGGACATCTTATATTTGATGCCTGCTTTGAAAGTGGTGAGTATTTTCATCATTATGTTGCCCAGTTGTCAATATATTAACATTTTAAACTCTTTCACTCATCTTTTTATGAAGTGTCTTAATTATAAAGAAGACTTACATTAAATACTACTTAACAAATTCAGCTGATTCCCTTCGGTCACATTTGACTTCAAGTCAGTCTTCAAATGTCAAAAAAGTTTTGAGGTTTGCTGTTGCCTACAATAAAAATTTTATCAGGTCCATCTTTAACCACACGTGGACACATAACAGGATTTTATTCTGTCATTATTTATGTGTAGTATTTATGTATTTATGATGTTGTATTTAAAATATGCTATTTCAAATTTTAATTTAGAAGTTTACTGGGGCAGTTAACCCAGTAAAGTGCCAAGCCCATCCTTGCATAATTAAAGAATTTTGAAAATCTGTATGTGCTGTCTTTAAATATATGACTTTGGGTTTCCTGTGGCCTGATCCTATATTGCTGAGGCTAATGGAAGTTCTGCCTCTGATGTCAATAGGAGAATTAAACTTTAGGAAGCTACTGCAAAGTGAAACTGTTTTTACAGGAGTTATAGTTAGCACATTAATTTAAAGAGTCATTTTAATTGCTTATATGCATGTGGGCTATGTAGGTAAATATATCCATGAAAATGTAGCATTGTTTAAATTTTTGTGTTACATACATGTGTGCTACCAGATTTTTAGCTTAAATCTATTATTACTGGCTTTCAGACCTACAGAGCACTGTTAAACACCATATGTAGAAAAGGCATTTGGCAGGATAAACTACAGTTTTCTGCATGGTTTATGTGAGAGGTGATGGTAATGCCAAAACTGCTCCAGTGTCTTGTAAAATGAGCTTTTTATAAAGAGTTACATCCCTTAGGGTAGAATACTGCCTGCCAGTTCCTGGATAAATATTAAATTGAGTTATTTAAATCCTGTGATTACATTATGTAAAAAGTGCAAATGATGCAGTGAATAATAAAGAGTATTTTTTTAAGGTGTGTCTCTGAAGGTTCAGACAATAGTTCTGTATTTTTAAAAATACTTTGACTGCTATTTTATAATACTTATGTGGGGTTTTTGCATTTTTGTATCAGAAAACAGCTTAAGAAATGAATCATGGCCAAGCTGGGAAATTTACTTTATTGTGCTAAATTTCTCTGCAATGAAAAAAGATCAGTAGCAGTCATCAAATTATTTGTGAAGTATTGTGAGTCATTGCATGATGGTTTAATTCCAGTTTTTGAACAATGGAATTAATTATATTTTTAAATTAAAATGTTTATTCCGTTCAAAGGTAATGTTCATACTTTACATACTTTGGCAATAATAGAATATGATAGAAGCAGGTGCTATTTGAAATACTGTATTTATTTACATTCTAACATGATGAGGCTGTGATGTTCCTTTGTATATTCAGACACTTCCAAAACACAAGTGTGAATGAAATTAATACCTTCATTTACTTTCTCATGATGACAATGTATTAGCAAGAGTGAGAGTAATATTGTGTACACTTCATATGTAAATTCACTTCATCTTTTGTTCTATGTCAGCCAAGTAATTGCTTGGAGTACCTTTACTGGTCAAAGCAAATTAACCGATCTTGGATAACTTATGAAATTGTTGTTAATAATGAAATCTATCCCACCCTGTTGTCCACACAGTAGGATACAACATTCATAAGATTGTTTTGATGCTCTTTGAGTACCACCTTAAATATAATATCCTATTGAAATTGCCCTTTTCAAAGAACAGATGGTAAAACTGACCCCACCTGCAGTACTGCCCCTATCTCTGGGGTCCCCACAACAAGAAATACAGGAACCTGCTGGAGGGGCCCCGAGGAGGCCACAAAGATGCTGCAGGGGCTGGGGCTCCTTCCCTATGGACACAGGCTGGGAATACTGGGCTCACCTGGCCTGGAGGAGAGAAAGTTCTGAGGAGACTTTTGTGGCCTCTCAGTATGTAAAGGGGGCCTGTAAAAAAGGTGGAGGAAGACTTTTTACCAAGGTCTGTGGGGACAGGGCAGGGAGAAAGGGGTTTAACCTGAGATTTAGGTTGGCTGTGAGGAAGCAATTGTTTACAATGAGGCTGGTGAAGCGCAGGTTGCCCAGAGAAGCTGTGGCAGCCCCATCCCTGGAAGTGTTCAAGGCCAGGTTGGATGGGGCTCTGAGCACCCTGGGACAGTGGAAGGTGGCTCTGCCCACAGTAGGGGAGGTTGGAACAAAATTATATTTATGATTCCTTCCAACCCCAGCCAGTCTATGATTCTAAAACAGAAGTTGTGTTAAATGTAATTCTATGAGTGGCTTTTCTTCTTTTGGCTGCATTCTCTGCTTTCTTGAAAGGTCTGGTTGATAGAAAGAAAATACCTATTTTTCAATGACTGTTTTATATTGTGGAAATGGAAGTAAACAGATTTCAGAATAGAGAAGGGGTATTAAACTTGTAGAAATCAGGATAAAATATTAATACATGGAGAAGAAATGCTATTTAATGTGGTTTCATTTTTGTAATTGCTATCATTATTGTATTAAATAACATTGAAAAGTATGAATTTGTTTGAGATGGAGGTGTGTTTTTATGTAGTCTGAAAACCAATGTCCAGCTTGCTGTTTTGAAGTGCCATGCTTTCAAAAATTCATAAAAAATAGAATTGGGCACTGAGATTTCTTTTTAGTCCATTCTGTTGTTAAGAGGCAAAATAAACTATTTTTGCCATTTCTGACAGATATTTATCTTTTTCAGAGACTTTCAGTGAGTTTCAATGAGAAAGCAGCAATCCATTCTAACACTGCAATTTGCTCAGTATAAGAAACATTTTCTTTCTATGTAGAAATGTTCTTACAAAAAAGGCATTAATTCTTGTCCAGTCCTATAGGCACAGAAAGCAGATTATTTCTTTTTTCTTTGACTTAATGGAAAGCTGCTATCATATCTTTCCTTGGCCTTTCCCTCCTCAGGTTAAATAACTGCTATTTTTTTCAATGGTTCCTTAGTGCTCACATTTTCCGAATTTTCTCTCATTCTTTATTTCCTTTGGCCTATCTCCAGCTGTTTTTATTTCCTCTGGCCTATCTCCAGCTGTTTTCTGCCTTTCTTGATTGGCAGTGGTCCAAGGTGAGCATGATACTCAGATAAGCTGGTGCCAATCCTATGTAGAGTTTATTACATGACATGCCTTGCAATCTATTTACTTCTGCAATGTGACAGTCCAATCTTTTTCACAATAGCATGGTACTGTTGACTTCTATAAAACTTCTGAACCCTTATACTGTCCAGGTCCTTTTCTGAAGGAGCTAAACCAGTGCAGCTGGTGCCTTGCACTTTACTTACCCTTAATGAATCTATTACTAGGGAAAAAATCATTGCTGTGAAATAAATGCAATTACTGCAAATGAAGAAAGGTGCCTCAGCCCTTTATCATATTAATAACTGACAGAGGAGTAAAGAAGATGGAGAATTATCAACTTGCAAGTATGTGAGGAATTTGTGTTTCCCATAGTTCAAGTTCCCATAGTTAATGTTCTGCCTGTAATCTTCCTTGTTATCTTTATTATTATTTAAGAATCTATACAGCCAAAAGAAACTTTTTACATTGATTTATCATTAGCATGAAAGAAACTGATAAAAATTCAGATTTCTTGCATAGCACACCATACTTTTTAGATAATTTCAGTTTTCACGAGAAACATGAGTTAGTTAGTTTCAGGGAAAGATGGAAGCACAGCTACCTATGCATAGTACAAATTTAAAGGAAATAAATGCCACATCTAAAATGTCTACATTTTGTCAGTTGTAATTCTGTTTCCTAATATTCATTAATGCATTAAATTATTAACACAGTTTCAGTTTAGCAGCAATGCACAACTGTACAAATGTTTACCTCTCATCCCACCCACTGTTCTGTCAAAATGGGAATTTTGCACATTATAGTGCTCTGGGTAAAAGGATGTATTGATTTCTGCCATGCAAAGAAGTCCTTCCTGATTAAAGAGGGCCCAGATTTTGATATGAACGTGTCCTTCAGGGAATCTGGCATTTCATACTCAAGGTGAGTTGGTATTTCAGACATTTTATCTAAAGGACTTCAAAGTCTAGTTTAGCCAGCTGCCCCTACTGTCTTGTGTTGCCTTTGTGCTTGTGATTTCTGATGGCATCCATTAAGTCAGCAGCCTATTCTGTATTGTGGCTAAGAGCTGTTTTATCTGCTTAGTCATTTTAACTGTAAGAGATGTTTTTGGAGATGATACCTCCAGAGCTGGCAGCCACTTGTTTTTCTGGGAGCTTACATATTGGCAATAGCTTTGCTTCTGCACAAGGTCACAAATTTTTAGTGAATTTAACATGATGCATGAGAAGCTTTTTCTATTTATTTTTCAAAGTGAACAAAGAAAACATAAACTGAATTACTCAGCTCTTAAAAAGCCCCACCTTTCTTCTCATTGTGCCAAGGCTGTTTGCAGGGTGTAGCCACCATCACGGAGTGATTCTGAGGTGGGCTCTGGTTGTTCTCCAGCTTTTGCCTCCCTGGGATCTCCATGGAGAGAACTGGCAGATGAAAAACTTGGGCTGACACTGCCAGGGGTGGCTTTGCTGCAGAAGAATGCTGGGGAGGTTCAAATGTTCCTTTTGCCTGGTGTCACTGGGCTGCAGCCCCCAGGGATGGGTTGGTTGGTGGCTCTGGCATGCTCGGGGCTGCCCCCCAGTCCTGCCTGGCCTGGGATGGACAGGGAATAGGGCAGGGAGCTGGAGTCAGGCTGCAGGCTCTGATGTGTTGTGAGCATGGTTAAAAACCCCAAGCTCGACAGTTTCTGCTGCTTGTGGCTCAAATTGCTTGTTTTATAATCACTTTTGAGAATTGAAGGAGCAGTGTTGGCTCACAGAGGTTTGTAAATCTCAGCATTTACACTGTTAAATACAGGGGCTTTTAATAAGGCTTTGAAAATATATATTTTGGCTTGTTAATCAAATATAATGCTGTTTAACTGTTAAAAAATACT